ACATCTTTGTTCTTTGCACTACTAACGATTCTCAGGCTCTCTTCAGTCCTGGGGTCCAGTTTTTACCCCCTCACTTTCAGAACAATATGCTAGAAACCGCCTGCTGAGTGCACGTTTGTGCCAAGTTCACATTTGCCTAAGAAGAATTGAGGCAGCCTGTAGATGCCCTTATCATGGAAGCTCCTAGCTCAAAAACCTCAGCTCTGTTTCAATAGCAGCGTTTACAGGCATTATTTACTATCATTTTACTATCATCTGTACAGCTGCAGCCTTCTTTTAATTCAGGCTAAGCATGTGGTTTCTTAAAAATAAGACTAAGCACAGTTTTCAAGATCTTCCAGGGATGCTCGAAAGATCTTCCAAGGATACTCTAAATCCCAATTAGCTAGCACGCAGATACTGAAATGCTGTGAAGGCTTGCAATACTGAAGTCCATTTGGCGATTTTAATTAAATACTCTGATGGTCCTCATAAATCCCAAGGGTTGTCCACTCCCTAGAGAAGAATTTTTTGCATTTCTGCTCTGCACCAGGGGATCTGAAATGTTCCCTGAAAGATGTACCAGGACCTCACTGTAAAACGTCCAGAGTCTCACCTGCCCAATACATCTGCTCTGTTCAAAGCTGGGCTTTTTGAAACCAAGGTGTACAATGTGCCCTGGGCATCCTTGAGTAGGAAAATGCCTCTGGCATTCCTATTCTTAAGGAAAAAGCCAGACAGAGCTCAGCAGAGACTATAAACCAAAAGAAGTCCCGACAGCCAGCCCATGGTGTGCAGGACTTAGTTACGAGGAGAGAGAACAGGGTGGTGAGCCCACAAAGCCTATAAACTCCAGTTTAGTTAAAAGTGCCCAATCCTTGCCATTGTACAGAATGAGCTGAAAATGCAAAATAACGTGAAAGAATGGCCAGAAGTTTGTCACTGTTATTATCTCTAAAACGTATGCATTAGTTACAAAACTAACCAGAATTGACCTTTGGAGCTCCCGAAGCTCATGAACATGGGTTTCTCTAATCTTGAGGGGAAAGGGTGTAATTATAAATTCATTTTTAGTTTAAGGGGCAGTGTGAGGTGGCTTAAGGGGTCTATTTTCTGCTTGGATACTTTCAGCTCAGAGGAGCGAAAAGGAAACACGGTCTCCCATCTCAGGAGTTATATCTTAGTAATATGGAAGGTACCCTCACCTAGACAACCAGACAGCACGGAAGAGAGGTTGACACCAGCTCTCCTGGTCTCTCCCCACAATGACACAGAGGAAAAACAGGACTTCTCCCACATGATGCTGCATAGATTCATTGCAGGCACACAGCAGAACTTAGTGCACTTCTTGCCTAGAAAATTTGAGACTATAAAAGTGATGCCTGTGAAGCTCTCCAAAGCCAACACCCAACGTTCCTCAGAGCTTGCATTCATCGTTACACCTCGACTAAAGCTTCCAGAAACCAGCTACGCTTGTGAGAGAGGCTGACACCATCAACCCCAGGACACTGAGGTCCCCACCTGCTCTGTGGGGTCTTTGCCACTGTGGTTACACCACAGACACCTACCAGCACTTGTGAGCAGGCACCAGGGGGCCTTTTCTGGTAGTGGCATTTGCTACAGCATCTCCCCAGCCAATATAAACCAGGGCAACAAAAGCTGTGTGTTGTCAGCATTGCTGCCAGGGATTTTGCCAGCACAGCAATGCCATCCAAGAGCATGACTTCTAGTTAACACGGCCATGCCAGCAAAACATTACAGTGTAAACCTGAGTCAAAGGTAGGTATGAAACCAGAGTCGTTTCTCCTCAGAGAAAGGAGAATGGGCAGAGCAATGATTACTGAAGGGTTAGCAATGTCAGAAGTTGTTCATTTCCCAAGTGGAAATACACATCTCCTTCCCTAGGAAGCAAAAGAAGTCAAACCCCAAAAAATCCATATACAGCTATCATAAATAACATCCACTTCTCCATTTACTTTCCTCCCACTGCAAAGTGTGGCTCATGAGATGGTACTTCTTGATCTCCCAAGGGGAGGAAAAACTCTCTCCATTAATCTGCTCAAATGAGGCACCAGAAAAAGAGAAGTGTGAATCCCAGCACGCTTGCGCTGCAGGTAACACATACAGCGCAGAGCAGCTGCCTCGGCACGGGCTGGAGAGCTCTCGCCTCTCCCGCTGAGATTTTCTTCTGAAGTGCTTATGGAGAAAGGAGATGTTGGGAAGCAGAAGAAAAAGTGCAGGCTGGGGACCCCTGCACCAGCTTAATTCCATGCCTGAAAGTGGTACAAAGACACCACCTCTCAGCATAGCTTCACACCCCAGATGCCCAAGCAGATAAAGTAGCAAATGTCGCTCAGGATGCACCAGCTAGCAAAGGGGCATTGTGTCACCAGCCACTGTAATATAAATCCTCCTGTAAAGCTTGCAATATCATTTGCAGCACCGGCCCTCTCGGGTTTCTCTGGATGAAGCACTATTTCAGCTCTATGTTTAGCACTTGGAGAGAAGCCAGGAAGACTTCCATAACCACCACTGATTTGTTAATCCCTTAATGCACAGGCACTGTTTGTTACTTAGGACGTCAGGTTTCAGCGCTCCTCAGCACGCTGGTGATAGAACTTCTTGACACCAGACTGCAAATATTATTGCAATGTCAATACTCCCAGGGAGAAAGCCAAGCCGAGTTAAAATGTGACTTTGGTGTTGACAAGCCAGTTTGGCATTGCAGAGTTCAAATGGCCAGGATCACCTGGCAACTTTAAAAACAGGAGGAAAGTTTGCCAGGATCCTTTTTGACTAAAGTCTTATCCCAAGATCCGCATGGTAACAGCTAAACACCTTCCAACCAGATGAAGCAAGAAAGAATAGAGTAAGTGGATTATGCTTTTCCAGGAAAGGGCTGGGAGCAACGTGTACGTATGCATGTGAGTTTGTGCCTATACAGATTTTCCTCATCTTTCTCATTAAAAGAGAAAAAATCCAAATCTAGGTTTATAGCATCACAGCTTTGGAGGCGATGCAGCTCAGTACTCCCAGGGAGTTCACCCAGACCGTGGCAGCTTCAACACTCTTCTGTTGCCCTAAGGAGAGCTGTCTCAGTGCTACGATAAAAAAGAGGTAGCTCCTGAGTGCGATCTGAAGTAAGCTGGATCCTGGTCTTTTTGGAGGGCACAGGCGCTGCACAAAACATCAGAGCCAGGCTGCTGTCGGTGGCTGCTGCCGCCAGGGAGGTGGCTGGCCCTCTCCAGACCACAGAGCTGTTTTAAGATACTTCCCCTCCCTCCTGGATTCAAACGTTTGCAGTGACACAGCCTGAAAGGTGAGGACCCCTGAGGAGAGCTGTGCGCGTGGAGGAAGAGGCACAGCCTTCCCGCCCAGGACAGCAGGAAGGTGAAGGGCTGATGCGTGGGGCTGCTTCAGGCTCACGCACCCTGAGACTAACCGGGCTTCATCCGCCCGATGCAATAAGCACAGGCAGCTATTCAGCCCCTATTAATTTATCACCCATTAATTACCAACCACTTTTTTGACCTCATAAGGCAGATCCAACGGAGTAATGTGCTCGGCTGTGGCAGGACTAAGCTGGGCCAAGGGCACATCGAGCCCGTCCCCGAATCCATGCGCATCCCAACCGCCCATGCACAGCCTGCCTGCTTATCAATAGCTCCAATTAAATAGTCTCCGGGTTTTGACTGCCCCCAGCTCACTCCTGGGTTGGGAGAAAGACAGGGGGAGTTAAAATTAAAGTAGCAATTGATTAATACATGAAGCCACTCAGTAGCTGTTGAGTTGAGCACCCTTTGGGGGTTTTAACCCTTCGGTGCCCTGTGAGTTTTGTTTCATGGCTAGCAATGCCAATGAGTACACTGGAAATTTGGGGTAATCTTTAGAAAAAGCCCACAGTCAGGTTGAAATGTGTATTTCAGTAAAAATAAGGTTTGACAAAATTATTTCATTGAAATTTCAGTAAGCATAGAGCCTTCTGTTCAATTTTTTTTTAAAACAAGACTGTTTCAGAAACCTGTGATCCTGGAGCAGTCTTTTCAGACTTAGAAAAATGCAAAGAACAGCACAACATAAACTGGCAAAAAGGTATTTAAAAAAAAAAAAAATTAGGAGGGATTTTTTACTTCCAGTCCTTATAATTGGAAAGAATCTGGAACAAAATGACTGTGAAACTCCATGCTTGAAGTAAGAAGCAAAGTATAGAAAAAAACCTTTAAAATGCCAGGGAGGTAGAACAGTCCAACAGTGAAAGGATGCAAAGAACAAGAGAAAAAGGGTAACTGGTTTAAACAAATGGTTTAAAAATGGTTTAAACAGACAGTGTTCCACTGATTTCAGCAGAGCTGCCCCTGTTTACACCAAGTGCTGTGTTTTACAGGGATCCAGGGGACATACCAGACAGAATGACTGTTTTCTTCTCACTGCTTGACATTCCTATATACAGACAGGTAAGCACCAGGAGTGATCAAAAGCCCAGTGGCACGTGGAGTAGACTTTGAAAGGCAGATGCAAGAAAAAAGTGCCAGTTTTAAAGAGGTCTGCTTGGTTTTAAGCAAGATCTCAAATAAAAGCTGGGAGCCAGCACTGCACAAAACTATCCCCAAGGCTGTCCTTTGACTACAGCCTCCTCTTTTAACAGGATAAAAGTCAATGTAAATGGGGAAGCAGGACAAAATCCTACAGCAAGGGCACAGGCAGCGCCGCAGCCTCACAGCATCCCCGAGAGCAGCGGTGGATCAAGGTGTTCTGCAGGGAGGCGTTAATGCATCTCCAAAACACACAGGGACACTAATAGAGGGTATACTTTTTTTATCTTTTTTTTTTTTTTTTTTTTTTTAATCAAAAGGAGACCCAATTCTATCGGTGGGGGGGTGATATGAAAAGACCATTAAGCTCTTCCCGTGGTAGGGCATCCACCAAAACCCCTTGTGCATTCAAGTGGGCAGTCAGACACAACTATGGAGAAACAGGAGAACCGAGCCACATTAATATCTATTAGGCAATAAAAAACCTACCTGGGAAAGAAGCTTGTTGTCATCCTCCAGCAGTTTCACTTTTGTTTCAAGTTGCCTGATGTAGTTGGAAGACGAATCTTTAGGAAAAGAGAAAAAATAGGTTTAGGCTTCTTGTGTGACAGGCAAGTACTGTCAGACAGCAATATGTTTTCCCCTTCTGTGGAAGGCCAGTTTGGGAAAAACCTAATGAATAAAACCCAAGTGTACAGGGTGAGGAGGGGATTCTGCCAAAACCTTTTTTCACTAAAAAGCTGAGATTCAGCAACAACAATATCTTCTGTGAATCTGTATCAGTGCCACCAGGTTGGGGGGTGGGGTTACAGAAGGAAAGTGAAGTCGAAATATTGTGTTTAATAACTTTTTAAAAGTAATTTCCTAGTGCTAAAAGCCATTCTTATTAATCTAAAATGCACCAAAATACTCAACAACAGAACAAGACGTCTCCTTTTAGGTTTGAATAAACAACCCCTCCACACACATGCCTTTTTTTCTTTCAAAAACAACTGAAAAACTCACAAAAATAAGCTGCTGGCACAGCTCTACAAGGAGGTCACTGCCACAACTCCCAGTGCTGTAAAAGGGCAAGAAGCGTATACAGCAAGACCACAGAGCTGCAGCATGCACGCAGCCTGAGGTACGCAGCAAGTGCCTACCCAGGACATCTGTTTTTTCTACTGGGAGCACGTGACACTAAACAGAAAAAATACCAGGACAATAAAATACACAATAACCTCACATAAAATGGTAATATTCAACCTGAAGGAATGTAACGGCCAGTTTACCATTGCAGTAAGACAGCAATACCAGATAGGGTGACCTGGCGTAGAAGATAACTTGCTGGAGAGCTCTGTGGGTGGCTTACTGCTCTCCAAAACATCTGGTTTTTGTTTTGAAACATGCTTTGAAGCAACACATTTGCAAATTTCACAGGGAAGAAAATAAAGGAACCTGGGAAAACCTTTTCTCCATTTTCATTACAGCATAACAGTTTGCAATAGTTCCTTCCATCCATCTGGATGTTTGCAAAATTTCCCCTCCGCTTGTAATTTTGGTAGCAGAGGCTGTGAGTTGTTACAGCAGGAGGAAAAGAGGGAGAGAGTTTTGCAGCTTAAGCATATGAAAAAATTCAAAAGCTTTCCTCACAAATGTGAAACGGAATTATATTTTATGTTGTTTCATTTATTACGGCGTAAGTGCAAAAGCCACCGTTCAACCACAGGACTTCTTGCCGAGCGTGAATTGGCGAGGAACGGCGCGTTCACACAACCGTGCCTATGCCAGCGCATGTTGGCGATTGCCAGCACCTTTCAAGATCAGCCCCACCATGGTTAGCAGGCACCACTGGCTGCACCTCTGTGCACACAAGCACACGCCTGTGCACACGTGTAATGTTTAGGCTGGCTCTGTGCTAAACAGCTTATCTTTCCCTTTGCCAGTAGCTGCCGAACGCACCGGGCACAAGCCTGAATGCCGTTTCTTGGCCACTCTGCGGGCAGTTTAGCAGAAGAGCTAGCATGCAAGCTACAGCTAATCACTGAGAGTGCTTTGACCATTCAAGAGAAAAATTGGAATATGCTTGAAAAAGTACTGCCATAGACAAGTGCCAAACCGCACATAAAGGAACAGCAGGACGGATCGGAGTCAAGTGCCCATCTAAAGCACAAACACTCAGAGGAAATATGCTCGCTTTTTTGTTTGGATTGTGCTTTGTACAAACCCAGGAAATCCAAACGTGTCCTCATGAAAAAGGTTAAGAAGACACCGTAGGAAGCTATGTAAGTTCAGTGAACAGTTTAAGTGGTGGTAAGGTTCACAGCAGTATCACCTTCAGCTGCACGGATCACAGCCTCTGCCCAACAACCCCTACATGGGAAGAGTCTCCAGGTCAGAGGAGAAGAGGGCAAACCACGTAGGTTATAGAAGCATTCCATAGCACCTTCCCTGCGAAGGCTTCATGCCAACAGCGTCGTGAATTTAGTCATGCGTATCAAAAGGTGGTGAGTATAATGCCGCAGAAGATCAGTGCTTAAGTCAGCAAGAATGCAGCGTCAGCTTGAACAACTCACTGAATTAGTAATGACCCTGTCCTCCAGCAGGGTGGGAGGGGAGTTTGAGATTCTTAAATACAAAGCCAGGAGGACCAGGGACCCTTTGGTCTGACCTCCTCTGTGCCCCAGGCCACAGCACTTTGTTAACTTAGCCCTAAATTCAGTGCAGAAACACCCATTTGGCTAAACAGTTCTCAGAACAGCGTCCAGCTGTGTCTGAAGACAACCAGTGACTCTACCGTTTCCACTCTGTGCTGGTTACAACAGCCTCCATCAGTAGATCTGGTCAGATAAGGTGTCCTTCCCGCCCGCCCTCCAGCCTCACCAGTACCCGCATGCTGCCAGGGCAGCAGCAGAGCTGAGTGCTCTACACAATGAATGCAGTGATCCTGATACAGCAGGTCCCAATTTTTATCTCAAAGTACCAGGGCATTCAAAGCAGCTTCAAGGAAGGATTCAAAGCGGTGTCAAAGGAGAGGCTCGATCCACGCCTGCTTGGGAATCAGAGATATGCCTCTGGACCGAGCACAGTCTCTGCATGTGTAAATTGCACGACAGCAACGCTTGCGTAAACAAGTGTAAAAATGCTACATAATGCTGAAGAAGATCTCGATGTGATGCCAGTAACAGACACAGGCTGCACAAGAACCACAGTTATTGACTAAGCCTGTTGCCTGTTAGCAGTCCAAGCCTGTTTCCCAAGCGGCAGGGAACCTGCTATATCCAGTGCCCCCCCGCCCTTTGTACTCTCTTACCACTACTAAGCCTTTATATTGTGGACCACCACACCATGTCATGTGCAAAGAACAGCAACCAAAAAAAAAAAGCTGGAGGGAACTATTTCTGATGCAGACAAGCTCTTTTTCCCAGTTCCGTGCCCACGAAGGGCAGAGAAACTGCAGGAGGTCCTCTCCAGCAGCTCTGCGTTCAAGCACAGTGGAAGTTACACAAGGGGGAGGCTGACAACCTGAACCTCATGAGCAACCTCTTCAACATGTGTTTGTGGTAGGTTCCAGCACTGCTAACAGCTACAGGAAATTAAGGTTAAGCAGTTGAATGGTGACACAGAAGCTGTTGTGTTCAGGCCCTGGATACTACAAGGACCGTCTGGTTGATGGAAAAACTTAAGCATGGCTGCCAAAGAAAAGGAAACGGGGAGAGAATTATTTCCTTTCTGGTTTCATATCCCTTGCAAAAAAAGGATACTCCTTGGGAAGGCAACCCCCACATCCCCAGAAGCCAATGCACACCACAGCTACCGCCAGCCTTGAAAGCCTGTTCTGAGATTTGCTAGAATTCTTCAAATGCCACTGTTCAACTCCAAACCATGTCCGACATCTGACCTCAGCCAGAAAACACCCCACAGCAACATAAAATACACGGAGAAAAGAAGAAAAAAAGCAAACAAGCTGTTTTGTGAGCAGAAGATGCTCCATCTCAGGCAAAGGCTGAGAAACAGTGCTCAGAGCCATCACCATCCTCACTGCGCCCTCAGAGATGAACTGCCTCCATCTTCTGGACCTGCCTGTGTTGAGGTAGGTGCCAGATGAGCCATTTGCACCTTGATCTCAGGTTTAAAAAATCCCATAACTCTCACAACAGCAGGCAGTAACACTGCTGGGCTGAGTAGCGAAACCCCAGACTGATTCTCTTCCATGTTAGATCAAGAAACACATTCCCAACATTCTTCTGCCTCTGACCTTCCTCTTATCAGTGAGTTTCCCTCCTCCCCTGCCTCCCTCAGAGCTGTGGGGTGAGGACGGCCTCGCTGACCCACCCAGGAGAGGTGGTAGAGCTGGATCACTGACAGCCTGGACCCCCTCATCCCCTTCATTAGAAATTAAATGAACAGTCCCCATCGCCTTGTCAAAGCCTGCCACCAGCCATGAGGAATGCTCCACCTTCACCAGTCCAAATGCCCTCTCCTTGGTGGAACGAGCGACTCCCAGACTTGGGTACTGGGGTGTACCCCTGGTACACTCGCCTGGGCTACAATTTCATGGCACCAACTTTGAGTCCACCCACGCCTGTTGGTGCCTCACTGGTGACCCGACACTTCACCCTACCCTGGCCAGACAACCGTGTCAGTTGGCTCTGTAGAAATGTGGCACAGTGAAGGGGAGGTACAGTATCAGGGAAGCAGACAAGGACGGTGGTCAAGGCCACATGGTCAAGGACACGTGGTCAACTATCAGCTTTTTGGGGGAATGCTCTGGCACTCGGTGCCACTTAGGATGCCAGCAGGGCCAATGTCCTCCTTCAGTTACTCCTCGGGGCCACAAGCAATAGCTGCATGAGCAATGGGTGCCTTAGTGGACCAGATGACACCAGAAGGAAGGAATTTCCCATCAAAACATCTCACCTCCCACCCAACACCTTCCCTGTTGCACTTGGTGCAGGAGAGGAGGTCAAGGAGAGACAGTGTTGTGCCCTGCCAGGCTGCTACCCGCAAAAGCAAAACACGTAAAAACCATAATCACCATCAGCCATCGCTCACTTGTACAATGTAAATGCTTCAAGCTAAATTGTTCACAGAGCTGTAAAACCTGAAGTCACGTTTCTTTACAAAGCCTTTGAAAAACAAATTGGATGTCGCTCCGCACATTATCTCCACGAGCGGTAGAAGAGTCGCATTCCAGCCCAGGAAGGAGCGTTACTGTTATTATCCACCCTCCTCAAGATTTACTGTCTTAAAAAATATACTCCATCTGGAACGGGGTGTAATTCAACTTGGATGTAATCTAGCTGAGTAACTTTTCTCCACATAGATAAACCACTTAATACTCATTACAGCTAAATTGAGGCAAGACAAATCACTCTACCTTGTTTTAACTCGATGGCCTCTGAGAGAGCAAGGAACAGCCTGGCTCCTGAAGCTTTTTTAAAACATCAATTAGAAACTGTTTTAACAATCAAAACAATCTTTCAGCCTGCAGAGCACAGAACAGTGTCATTTTAAGAGACACTTGGAGACACTGGAGCCTTTCTGATCCTCATCTGAGATTTCAGAGGAATCTGTCAGAGGGGTA